TGGATGCTATTTCAACTTTGATCTTGAGGATCTACTGAGGGCATCGGCTGAAGTTCTTGGTAAAGGAAGTTATGGCACAACTTATAAAGCTGTTTTGGATGAGGAAACAACAGTTGTGGTGAAGAGGCTAAGGGAAGTTATTGTGGGTAAGAGGGAGTTTGAACAGCATATGGAGGTGGTGGAGAGAGTTGGGAAGCACCCAAATGTTGTGCCTCCGCGCGCTTATTATTACTCCAAGGATGAGAAGCTTTTGGTCTACAACTACATGCCAGCAGGAAGCTTGTTTGCACACTTGCATGGTATGCCTAATCTAAATTCTAATGTTAATTATAGTTACTTTAACTGGTTTTGCCAATTTTTTTTTTCCCTTCTGTTTCCATGCATTTACAGGAAGCAGGGATGCTGGAAGGTCTCCACTAGACTGGGATTCAAGAGTAAAGATTTCTCTTGAAGTAGCCAAGGGAATTGCCCACATTCATTCTGAGGGTGCTAAATGCAGCCATGGCAACATAAAGTCCACCAATGTCCTCCTAACCCAAGACCTTGAAGCTTGCATCACTGATGTTGGGTTGAGTCCTCTAATGAACTTCCCTGCAACCATGTCACGAGCCACAGGATATCGTGCTCCCGAGGCAACCGACATGCGGAAAATCTCTCACAAATCTGATGTTTACAGCTTCGGCGTGCTCCTCCTCGAAATGCTGACAGGCAAAACCACACTTCAATATCCAGGACATGACAGTGTGATTGATCTGCCAAGGTGGGTAAAGTCTGTCGTGCGCGAAGAATGGACAGCTGAGGTTTTTGATCTGGAGCTGCTAAGACAACAACACATTGAAGAAGAGATGGTGCAGATGCTTCAGATTGCACTGGCATGTGTATCAAAGTTGCCCGAGGCACGCCCCAGGATGGATGAAGTTGTTAGAATGATAGAGGAAATTCGGCAATCTGACACGAAAACTAGGCCATCCTCTGAGTCTGAGTTTGACATGCAAACCCCGTGAAATCTTTAGCCTTCTGTTCTTCTCTATGCAATTGGGAAATAATGTTCAATGCTGTATTGTTTTCTGTATCACGATCTCCTGATTAACATTTTGCTTGCTAGTAGTAGCTTCTAAAGACCAACATTATTTTCAAACTTGCACCTGCATTTTCATTTCATATATTTTTCCCTTCAACATTGCGGTCCTGCCACAAATTTTGTTAAGGGTGACAGATTCAGCTGCTCCAAAAATCGGCCCCCAGGCGCTAGGCGGTGACTAGGATCTAGGCGGCCGCCTAGGCGGTGCGTAGGTGCTAGGCGGGAGGATACCGCCCCGATTTCACCCTAATCGTTAGGGGCGGGCGCCAGGGAGTTAGGCGGCGCATGGGCGCCGGCCTAGGGGCCTGGGCCGGTCGGGACTCGGGTGGCTGCTTCTCTGCTCTTCTCTACCCAACCAGTGGCAGCAACGACTTCTTCTCTACTCGTTAGAGGTATCTTTGAATTTTTCTTCTTTTCTTAGCTACTGCTGGGCTCATCGTATTTCAAAGGCGCGCGCAAGAGGAGATGACAGAGGCAGAGTCAGAGGAGAGACGATGGAGATAGCGACTAGTGAGAGATGGGAGGTGATGGAGGCGGAGGGATGAAGGTTAGTGAAACGCTGTGTTTCACTTACGGGCTGGTATTTTAACAAAGTACTCTTATGGGCTTGGGCACATATACTAAAACATAACCTAATTATATTTCTATTTCAACACCCTGCTTTATATCAAAGCATATATCATATGACTCACATATATACCGTTTTTTTAAAATTAATTTTGGCATAAATGTATAATTTATAATACAAAATAATTATTTATTAAAAAAAAAACACCTAAGCACCCGCCTCGCGCCTACCTATCGCCTAACGATTTTTCGAACATTGATTAAGCATCAAATCTCAAATGCAAACAATATAATGATGTAAAGCCTCCATAAAATGGGAAAAGATTCAAACAAAACAAATAAAACATGATTTCATAACGCCCTTAAAAGTGAAGTTTAGGTTAAAATGTTTGACTAATTAGGGTCTAACCTAAAACCGATTGACTTGAAATTATGTCCAAATATTAAGACAACTAATTTTACCTACTCCGAGATAAACAACAACCATACAATTATCTGTTGGAAATTTGATCGTTGAGGCAAACATTTACAACTCATATTTCTGTTGGAAAACTTGAAATTGGCCAACAAAATTAACATTATTATTTATTTGTGTTTGGTCCAATATCTAATTCTTTTTGCGTTGTTAATTACACCTGCCTATATGGCAAGCCAGCCTGTGGTCGTTGCAACACTGATTTTCCCATTTTTCTTGGATTAACCTCCATAAATTTTTTTATTTTTCTCATTTTACTTTCTTCCATCACCATAATCCCAATTTCAAGGTTTTGTTCTTCTTCCTTGGTTGCGGATTAGGCTTTGATCGCCATGAAATCTTGCCAAAGGTACATCTTCTAATGGCGGTGTTTTTAAAACAGTTTCTGCATTTTTCTTCGTCGTATTTTGGGACTGGGATTTCTTTTTTTATGTGATTATATAATTTGACAAAAGAATTCCACCATATCTCAAATTATTATGTATTGTTCATGAGATTAGGACCAATGCTAAGGGTTCCATATGAAACTCCTCCATATGCTAATAGTCTTTTCCTTGTAGATTTTCATGGAGGAGTTGGAGAAATTAATGAGGACCTTTTTTTGGGGGGTTTTTTAATTCTTGTTATGCAAAATGTATATGCATTCTGAATCAAATACACACCAGAACTAGTCTCAGTAGTATATTTTGGTTGCCTGACAAGGATTTTTTGTTTTTGTTTTTGTTTGTTTTGTTTAGATGTTTCTGATAAATCTGTTCCCATTTTGCTGTGCACACTTAAATGGGAAGTTGCTGTTCTATGGTAAGTTTCATTGTACAAGGAGGACAATTCAGAAAAATGATAGTGTGCTTCCTCATTGGCCTCTAAGATCAATGACCTTTTGCTGCATCATCTGAGGAAATGCTTTGATTCTTGCAGTGCTCCGGACATAATAGCGACGAGGTTCATTTTGAGGGTTGTCTTGCCAGTGGAAATGTGCACCTTATAAAGACCATGGAAAGGTGGGAGGCAAAGTTATCAGAAGCAGTCAAGGATGGCAAGATTGTAAGCTTCTAGTGTTCTTTCCTGAATAAAGTGGGGAAAAAAAATTATAAAGAATCCGGAATAGAAACATCAGATGGAACTTTGAGCACCAATTTCATCATCTTTCTTATCATGAAGCCTTAGCCATAACATTCTCACATGTAGTCCTCCCTACAGTTTATTATAAAGAACCCCCAGCAAAACCTGCCAATATTTCGAAGTAACGTTTTAATTAACAAAATCATACGCTACATTAAAGCTATTTTTTGTCTAATTATTCTTCAGAAGGAACATTGTTCAAACTAGTATTGTTACCAAAGAAAACAAAAATCCTTGCTAAATCCAGCATGTCTAATTTTCTCTCATATGAATACGATGTTCTTTATCGAACTGTTGCAACAGGTTGTAGCAAATTTCAGTGCATCGTGGTGTAGACCTTGTATAATGATTGCACCAGCCTACTGTGAGCTTGCTGACAAGTATCCTTCTATCGTATTTCTAACCTTGGATGTCGATGATCTCGCTGTAAGTGAGAATTATTTCTTGTTTGTCACATAATCTGCGTACTAACAGAGAAGGATAGAAATGCAGATTCCAATGAAATTTTCGCTTCTCTTTATTCTGATCCATATAATGTAGCAATCGTTTGATGAATGATGCATTTTTTTTTTTCTGGGGTACAGGAGTTGAGTACTTCATGGGATATAAAGGCCACTCCAACATTTATTTTTCTTAAAGATGGAAGACAAGTGGACAAACTTGTTGGAAGCAACAAGACAGAGCTCCAGAAGAAGACAGCAGCTGTGGTTCATTTAGCAACCAAGTCTCATAGTTGACTCTTTTGTGATGATCATTTTCTTTTCTTTTTTTCTTTTTTTTGGTTGGGATATTAATCTCATGAAAATCAATCTGGTCTCAACATGTAATCAAAATGATGTCCATGCCAACTGGTTATCAAATCATTGCATGGTCATATATCATCATATCAGATAATTTTGAGATCTTCTGTGCGACAGGTCCCGATACAGGAGCATTGGATTTCAAAGCAAAGACATCCGATAATTAATATCTGTTTTAGGATAAAAGAAAACCATAAGTTGGGAACTCCAAACAGAAGACAACTCTTGACACAGATTTTCCGACACACAGAGGCAACTCAGGTTAAAGTCAATATTAAACTCGATTTGCAGGCTACGGAAAATGATAAGATAATAGCATTCAGACAAAAGTCAACATTATGGAGAGAATTTGTAAGGAGCATGAAGAAACAACAATTTATACATACAATGATATACATTTCTTGTGTGTCAAGATTGCTCGAACTATGCATCGGTTCAGCTTTGACAATTGTATGTATCCTCCTAGGAGGGAACTGGTGCATTGATCATAAACATCTAAGGCAGCATAGAAAATAAAAATCGACTTACAGCAAAAGACAGGAAGAGACAGAGATGGAGAGAAAACTTGTCCTTGTCCTTGTTCTTGTCCAGATATTAAACCCCTCTAGCTCTAGGAATTAACAAAACAGAGGATAAACCAATATCCAAACTGGCTTTCAGACAAGTTAGCCGTTAATCACAATGGGATTTTCTTGAAATTCTAGCGATGGTCATCTGTCAAAGTTTCAATCAAAACAGAGGAACATCCGCCCCCTTGGTCTTCTTAAATAATCGATCATTTCCGTAGCAAACCCTTCTTGAGCTCCTTTCTCTCAGTCTCGAAAAAAACACAACTCCAGCCATGGCAGATGGAAAACAATCCATCTTCTCATCTCTTGACAATGCCAAAACCCAACTCTACCATTACAAGGCAATTGTCATTGCTGGTATGGGGTTTTTCACTGATGCTTATGACCTTTTCTGCATCACCGCTGTCACGAAACTTATAGGGCGCCTTTACTACTATGACCCTTCTACGAACAGTCCTGGTACTCTGCCTAATCAGATCAACAATGCAATAACTGGGGTTGCTTTGTTTGGAACCCTAGCAGGGCAACTCTTCTTTGGCTGGCTTGGAGATAAACTTGGTAGGAAAAAAGTTTATGGTATCACCTTAGTCACTATGGTGGGCTGTGCTCTGGCCTCTGGCCTTTCCTTTGGCTCCTCTGCTCAAGGTGTTGTTACAACTCTCTGCTTCTTTCGCTTCTGGCTCGGATTTGGGATTGGAGGGGACTATCCCCTCTCAGCTGTCATCATGTCAGAATATTCCAGCCAAAAAACCAGAGGCGGGTTCGTTGCTGCTGTGTTTGCCATGCAAGGAATTGGCATATTGGTTGCAGGAGCCGTAGCCATGCTTGTGTCCAAGGTATTCTTGCAAGCTTTCCCAGCTGATAAGTTTAATGTCAATCAAGTGCTGTCTACTCAGCCAGAAGGCGATTTTGTTTGGCGGATTGTGCTCATGTTTGGTGCTGTCCCAGCTGCTCTGACCTTTTATTGGAGATCAAAAATGCCTGAAACTGCAAGGTACACTGCCTTGGTTGAAGGAGACCATGAGAAGGCTAAAGCAGATATGGCCTTCCTCATATGGGCTGTTTTCTAGGGAGTTTCTTAGGAGGCATGGCCTCCATCTTCTTGGCACCTCCAGCACCTGGTTCTTGTTAGACATTGCCTTCTACAGCCTACAGCTCACTCAGAAAGATGTTTACCCTGCAAGTGGGCTTTTACCAAAGGCATCAACAATGAATGCAATAGAAGAAGTGTACTTGCTCTCCAAAGCAATGCTGTTAATAGCACTCGCGGCAACAGTTCCTGGTTACTGGTTTACTGTCTTCCTCATTGACAAGATTGGAAGAAAGCCAATCCAGCTTGGAGGGTTTTTACTGATGTCAATTTTCATGGCAGTTCTTGGATATAAATATGGGGTACTTAGGGGAGAGAAGTGTAAGGACCCAAATTCCACCGTCGACTTCTGCAACGGTCGCACTAACTTGTTCACCCTTCTCTTTGGCCTGACCTTGTTTTTCGCAAACTTCGGACCCAACAGCACAACTTTCATTGTGCCGGCTGAGCTTTTCCCTGCAAGGTTCCGGTCCACGTGCCACGGTATATCAGCAGCAGCAGGAAAAGCAGGGGCTATACTTGCTGCATTTGTGCTGCAGAGTTACACTCATCAACTCGAAGGCATCCGGAAGGCAATCATAGCGCTTGCTGTGGTTAATTTGCTTGGTTTCTTCTTCACTTTCTTGGTGCCAGAAACAAAGGGCAGGTCGCTTGAGGAGATTTCTGGAGAGAACAATGATCTTGGAGGCAATGGGGTCAAAGCGATTAGCAATTCAGATGACAAGGCAACAGAAGCTACCAATGTTGACAATGTCAAAGACAAAGTTGCAGAAGCTGAAATGCAAATGGTCTAGATGTTCTGATTTGATCTCATTTCAGGAAATTATGAGTGCGTTTTTGTGTTGTGTCTAATAAAATGTGTCTCCCCCATTGATGGGGTTTATAGTTACCATGTTAGAGCACATTTTTCTCCCACTCTGTCTTTATGGAAAAATAAATAAATAAATAAATTTCCCAAGTAATTACTTGTAATAAGGCCTGACCAACAGCAGCTGTGGAGTGCAGGGATGAAATAAAAGGTAATAATAAAGATGTGCTTACAATATCAAATGAAAAATAAATAAATGTGACTCTCTTCCTTTCTATTAATTAAACTTGTGCCATTATTTTCAAAGTGAAAGTGTATCTTCAAGGGCACTTCTGTCATTTCCATCAAATTATTAATCTCCTCTACCATGGTTTCCTCATCACTTTTCCCCGATCAAATATTCAACAAAGTCACACAACAGTTGGCAGTGTGGCGCCATGTCAGGTCATTTTCACACGGCTTTAGGTATGCTGCACATGGTGAAATTAGTACGTAGTAGGCAGTCCTAACACAAAAAATATATTTATCTTCGAAAACGAAATAGCGTATAATTTTGGTCCTTGTAATTTAGGCAAAGAATCACTTTGAACTCTGTAGTTTCAGTTGTCACAATTTTAATCCATGCGGTTTAGCATTCAAGCTTGTAGAGCAACAAGTATAGTTCTCAAATGTCTTGTCCCACTAATGAACATTTTGTATGTTCTTATTCCCTTGTTCTGTCATCAATGGTTGCCAACCAAAAAAAAAAAAAAAAAGCACGCCAGCATATATGTTCTCCTCGGCTTTCTAGCTACTATTAAGCCCACCATAAGCAGCTGCTTTTACAAGGAAGCCAAAAAGCAAAAATGGGGTGGAGAAGAAGGGACTGTGGTCACTGTCCAAAACATACACCTCAGATGGTGGCCACCTCTTTATCATCGAATCTTGTTGCTCTGGTTTTACGACATGATCATGCAACGTTCTCACGTAAACACGAGGCACTTTCTCAACCTCATCCTTCTCCTCAAAACGGGCTGTCGTTATTGCTAGGAGCGGTCCAGGCCTCAACAGCATGGCAGCTAGTGTCGAATCCTGAGAACAAAAAAAGGCTTCTAATTAACATACATGAGTTATGCTATGATTAATTTTGTGATTATGTGAAATGCCCATGTGAGGGTTCGCTTCTGGCAAAATCCGTGCATGAGTTATGCTATGGTTAATCGTTTAAGCATGTTCGATTAACTTTCGTGATCATATAAAACCCTTGACCTGGAGATTAATCTTAACAAAATCCTAACATGTATGTATATGAGATGTATATTCGCAAGTACATCAATGATGTGAAGGATTGAATGTGATGTGATGCACATATCGATGACCATCCAATTTGCTTCAACAGCAAAGGAAAAGGACTATGCAAAAACAAAGTGCCAAGTGCCCACCAACCAACCATCAAAAACATAGGTACAGATACATTTAAAAGGCCGTGATCAAGGGTTTGTTTATATACCTCTTGAGGACTCATTTGGTATATGATTTTTCGTTGGAATTCTTTCTTGATCATGGCGCTTGTTGGAGGTTTATTGGATCCCAATCCAAACCCTAACTCATATATGTCACCAAATTCAGATAAATCAGGCACCCCCTGTTTCACATAAACATTATATAATAATTATAATCAGAAAAATAATTGGTCCCGTCTCAATCATTGGGAGCCAGATTGAAATGTATAGTAAAGTATATCATGCTGACAAAAAAATTGCCCAAATTATTGAAGATATGATTGCTTTCTGAAAAAATAAAAAATAAAAAACTGAAATTACTAACAAAATCTAATTAATTTGCATTTGTAGTAATTTTGGATAATTAATGAGACTAAATAGTATAATTAATGTTTTCTTAAGAGATAATGCGAGGCCTAACAACTATTTTTGTCTGTCTGTGAAGACAGTTGGCAGCCATGAGCCATCTTTCTCTGCATTTCACACCATTGCCAGCATTGGGATCTTACTAACTGCAACAATCTTTACTAATTTCCAACCAATTCAAGCAGCCAAGCTGCCATGCATGGCTGCTCAAACTTATTTCCCATGTCAAATTTTCTAAGAACATGACGCAATTCAAACAAATCAGATTGAGATAAAAGGGATTAGAGAAAAACAGTAATTACATCTTTGATATCTTGATCAGTTGAGTAGCCAAGTTTCAGCATTGTTGCTGCAACATACACTGCTAATCTGATTTTCTTTGGAAACATGAGAGTGGCATGGGTTACACTGAGCCCTCCAGCGCTGTGCCCTACCAATATTACCTGCAAAACAAGTTACTTAAGTTGATAAAACAATCCCCTAATCCATGTTTCCAAATAATTAAACAAAGGGAAAGAAAATTAATCACCAAACCAAAGCAAGACCTGTTCATTTTCAGGCAGAGCAGACAACAAGTCCAGCAGTGGCTTGTTGTAATCGTCAAAAGAAAAGACTGAATTCGCATCGGATTGGTCGATCCCGGCGCTTTTAAGATCAACGCAAGAAACCTTGTAGCCTGAATTCTCCATGAGGCATCTGATTTTGTACCAACACCAAGCCCCTCCACTTATGCCATGAACCAGCACAAAGTGATCAGTCTTCAAGTTGAAGGTTACTTGTGGTACTTCCTTCAAATT